TTTCTAGACTTAGCAAAGCTAAGTACTTTTCAAAGATAGACCTCAGTAAGGGGTACTACCAGATCCCAGTTAAAGAAGAAGTTCGCCCTTATTTAGCATTCAGCACCCCTGAGGGGCACTATGAGTTCAACGTCTTACCATTCGGCCTTAGCAATGCACCTAGTGTGTTTACCCGCATGATGAGAATGCTGTTAGGCCCATTAAAACGGCCAAAGCTACAACATTTTATGGATGACATCCTCATCGCGTCAGAGCATTTTGAAGAACACCTCAACACTCTCGACACTTTGCTAGGAAGGCTTGCAGAAGTGGGGTTAACAGCCAGGCCTTCTAAATGTAAACTGGCTTTTGGACAACTAGAATTTCTGGGACACACCATATCACAGGGATATATGTGCCCTGAACAAAAGAACGTGGATAAGTTGCACAAGGCACCTAGACCAAAAACTAAGAAGGATGTGCGGTCCTTTGTATCTCTGTGTGGGTTCTATCAAAAGTACATACAAGACTTTAACACGATAGCCTCCCCACTTACAGATGCTACAAAAAAGGGAGCCCCAGAAATGGTGCGTTGGTCAGCTAACTGTGAGACAGCGTACGCTATGCTCAAGGGAAAGCTAACCTCCAAACCTATTCTTCAGCTCCCGGACCTCACTAAAACCTTTACGTTGAGGACTGATGCCAGTAATATAGGAATAGGAGCGACCCTACTCCAGGAAGGTAGAGAAGAACCATCCATGTTGTTTCCGATAGCATATGCTAGCCGGAAGCTTAACGGTGCTGAAAGAAATTATTCAACCATTGAGAAAGAGTGTTTATCCCTAGTATGGGCAGTGCAGAAATTCCAGCCATTCTTGTACGGAACGAAATTTAAAGTACAGAGTGACCACCAGCCTCTGATGTTTCTAGCGGCATCTAAGAAGCTCAACACTAGGCTGATGAGATGGTCACTGTTACTCCAACCCTACACTTTTACAGTAGAATACATTCCGGGGAAAGAGAATGTAGGAGCAGATTTCCTGAGTCGTCACCCTCCAGAAGAGGAGAATGATCAAGCTAACCTAGATGAAGGAGGTACGCCAGATGGTCATCTTAGTCTCTAAAAAGTTTGGATCCCAGAACTTTTTTTTTACGGGGGGCCTATGTGACAGTACTGGCAATGACCACTGACGCTCCCCTAGTTACCTTATAGTTTAGGGCAGAAGCTAGATATATATATTAGAAGTTAGAGGATGCGAGTGCTTACACAACTTCGATGAGATTTTCGCGTCGCCTAGCAACCGGCCTTCCCCTAATACTTTCCGCTAAAAACCGGATAGGGCTAGTTACATTCAACTCATGGATTAATAGTTTTGCAACCAATCACAGTGCTCTGTCCGACCAATCAAATAGAACGTACCAGATGGCGCTTCATCTTTTTGGCGCATGCGCATGACTGGCGTCACGTGGGTCGTCCATTTTGAGCGGAAGTCGCCATGTTTCGGTCATTCCAATTCCAAACGTGGTCGAGTGAGATCGTTAGTTTTTCAAGTGCAGTATCCAGATTAGCGAGTGTAGTTCTATATTAATTCGTTCTGGATTACTGTAGTGATTTCTGACCGATCTGAGGGCCCTGCGGCATTTTTCATAACACCAAGGACTCAACGATTAGTACACAATTGTACCCATTGTCATGTCGCCATGGAATCGGCACAGACAAAGAGACAGTTTAAGGGATTTAATCCCAGTATTCATAACCGACTACTAGTCGTATTTTTAAACGACCACGTGTCGTACTTTTTAAACGACCACGTGTCGTATCTGAACTTTAAGAACATCAGCGGTGGATTATCTACAAGAGGATATTACAAGAAATAAAGATCTACAAGAAGCCAAGTGTTCCGGTTTCCCCATCAAGTCCAACCTTTGGGAGTATCCACGGGTGAGCTGTACTCGTGCGGGGGAAGGAACTGGACCCAGTAGACATTTCTCTAACCTGATGATGAGAACCATTTGGTTTAAAAACAAACACCAAACCACTGTCAATTTTTAGCCAGTCAGCTGTCAGTAAAATTAAAGCGACATCATTCTTCATTCACTACTATTCTCGTCTGTCTTTGTTGCTGTGCGTGAGTAATAGTTGAGTGAGCGAGAAGGGGGCATTCTTCGCTTTCTTTCTCTGGGGGCTCTTTCTTTAAAAGTGGCAGAGGAGTTGCCACCAGGATAACTAGTCTGCCTAGCACCACCCATCGGAGCGGGGTAGCATTATCTTCCTGTCCTCTGTCCCCGGAGCAATATCTCGGTCTCTCTACCCTAGTAGACAATGAAGTACCATACTTCTAGTGAGCCACACTTATAGACTGAAGATACCTCCTGTATAGGAACCCTACCCTTCCTAGGGCTCTCCTATAGTTGTGACACCAAGCATGACTGTCTCCACCTTTCTTAGCATGCTCTGTGAGTCAGTTACAATCAGGGCATGCGTGTAAAGCTGTTTCTCAAGCCAGTGGAAGGAAGCAGTGACTGTCTTCACCTCCATTCTCAAACTGTCGGGCATGTATGAGAAGAAACAGACTCGAGAACTCAGTGGCGACTGGCGAGATTGATGGAAAAAAGGCAAGGGAAAAGTTCATTGACACGGTGATTAATAAATATGACCATTATCTTCTGCCTCTTCTTCTTCTTATTTGCGTTCACAGACTGTAAACTCTTGTAGAAAGCTCCAGGTGTTTGTGCACCTCAAGACTTTAGCCTTATTCCAGAACTTGAGTACTGCGTGCACATCCGTTTTACACAACTGGCTCATTTGTATGCAGACTTGGTTTTTTACCTCTTAGGCAGATGGACTCAGACTTCGCAGGAGGCTCCCAACCAGTCGACTCCTACGACATGCTTGTCGGGGAGGTAGTGGGTCTATTCTTGTCCTCCCCCCCCCCCCCAACAACCCAACAGTAGGGCCCCTGAACTCACACATGGAATGATGATGATGATGAGGATGATGATGGTGGTAATCTTCTTCTTCTTCGCGTTCACCAGCTGTACACTCTGGTGTAAAGTTCTGGCTGTTCGTCCACTTCTAGACTGCAGTCCTGCTCCAGAACCTGAGTGTTGCGTGTGCATCAGTTTTACAGATCTGATTCAATTGAATGCAGACTGCTGGTTCCTTGCCTCTCAGGCAGATCCACACCGACTTCAAAGGAAGCACCCCAGTTAGTCGACACTTACGACATGCTTTTGGGGAAGCAGTGGGTCTATTCTTGTTTTCCCCTCAATAGGGCCCCGGAACCCACACGGGGGAATGGTGGTAATGATGATGATGATCAGAAGGCATATACGCAATAAACGCAAACACACAAACATATTCACACATGCACAAAACACACAGTTCCTCACCTGTACACGCTGTTCCCTCCTGATTCCCCTCATAACCTGGGTTGCACACACACTCCCCCTTTGGGGTGTCGAACCACACCCCGTCGTTCCTACACAGGTAGGACAGGGCGGACTTGGGCGAAGCGTTATCCACACAGACGCCCTTCTTCTCCACCACCGAGTAAATCTTATCCCCTGTGGGAGTCTCATCGAAGAAGGCGAAGTTCCTGGTGATGTTTGGGCAAGTAATGTAGTATACTCGAACCCGCACCAGTGTCACGCATGCGCCTTCATCCTGAACGGCAAAGTATACCCCGCGAGGGCCTTGGGGGGTTAGGGCCACTTGTCGAGTTTCAAGATTGAACTCCTTCTCGCTAAAATCCTGAAGACAAAACAGACGAAACTCTTTGAATGCAAACACCATTTCCAAGAAATCCACCGTTATTTACCACAAATTGAACAGACTATTACTAAAGCTAGCCGAGGCTGTATCAATTAAATGGTATTGTACTGATTATGTAAACAAAAAGATCAGGTGATAAATCTGAATGGGTTCTTTAAATTTGACCGAAATACGAGTAAAGGCAACTGCAAGCAGCTGGAACACTTGTCATGTGTCCCCTGTCTCGAGAGTTCCCCTGCCTTGTAACATGTGTAGCCCAATGATCCACAAGATTGTGATCGTCCGCCAGCTAGAAGCTTTTGGGTGTGACCAGTAACCAAGTCTGCACCATCGACATCACCTCACAGCAACTGTAAATCTCTTACCCCGCAGACGAACATTTGCCCACTGGCTCGCCGGTAGACGACTTCGTCGGGACAGAATTTGGGTCGGGTCTTCTCTGATCGCATCAATATTGCAGGGGTCCTTTTAATGGCCCTTGGTGGCGTGCAACGCTAAGCCATTCAATATGGCGCACACAAACTAGCCACAATTATAACCTAACAGTACCCCTTCGGGAATGATGGTTGAACTTGACGATTTCTCTGCCCTCCCCCATAACCCCCCGCCCCCCTTTTTAGCAAAGGAAAACAATTAAAGACACTGTGCTCCTTCGAAGTCGGAGTGCATCTGCCTGAGAAGCAATAAACCAGCAGTCTGCATACAAATGAGTCAGTTCTGTTAAACGGATGCACACGCAGCACTCATGTTCTGGAACAGGAATGCAGTCCGAAAGTGGATGAACAACCAGAACTTTCCGCCAGAGTTTACAGCTGGTGAACACAAAGAAGTAGAAGAAGAAAGACACTGTGTGAGAATGCATTCTGCGTCGCTTGGACAGCCGCTGTTCAAAGAGGCGTGAAAGACAATATTAGATTATCAGCCAACAGGCAGTTTCATATATATATTTTACCAACAACTCGAAAGATTTAGCCAAAAAATAGAGAGATTTAACCAAAAACAAGAGAGATTTAACTAAAACAACAGATATTAAACCAAAAACTAGAGATATTTAACCGAAAACTAGAGATTTAACGAAAAACAAGAAACACAGAACACAAAAGAGATTTACCCAAAAACAAGAGAGATTTAACCAAAAACTAGTGAGATTTAACCAAAATAACAGAGATTTAACCAAACAACTAGAGAGAATTAATTAAGAAGACAGACTTGACCAAAAACAAGACAGATAAGAAACTCCACTTACCACAAAGAGTTTGTCTGCAGCAATCTTGTCCACTTTGATGTAGGTGATCGGGTCCCAGGACGGCCTCATGGCGTTGGCGAAGTCGGAGCCGGCCTCGAAGTAGTAGAGGTTGAAGGTTTCCTTGCACTGCTGCAAGTTGGAGGAGTCGATGATTCTGGAGCACCTTCTCATGGTGAACCTGGTGGAGAGGTGGAGAAACAGAGGTCAACACAGCCGTCATAGCTGTTCCTGGGGTCACGGGACCCAGGTCAAGGACAGATTATCTTCTGCTTAACAAGAATGTCATAACAGGCGACTAATTAGGGGTTCTTAAAATCATGTGTCTTTCGCTAAAAAGGCTGATATCGCAGACTAGCTGATAACCGCAACACAGCATACCAAGAGTCCTTTTAAAAACGAGAGCAGAAGAAGAAGAGGAGGAGGAAAAGGAAGAAGAAGAAGAAGAAGAAGAAGAAGAAGAAGAAGAAGAAGAAGAAGAAGAAGAAGAAGAAGAAGAAGAAGAAGAAGAAGAAGAAGAAGAAGAAGAAGAAGAAGAAGAAGAAGAAGACGAAGAAAAAGAAGGAAGAAGAAGAAAAAGATGATAAAGAAGAAGAAGAAGAAAAAAGAAGAAGAAAAAAAAAAGAAGAAGAAGAAGAAGAAGAAGGAAAAAAAAGAAGAAAAAAAAGAAGAAGAAGAATAAGAAAAAGAAGAAGAAGAAGAAGAAGAAGAAGAAGAAGAAGAAGAAGAAGAAGAAGAAGAAGAAGAAGAAGAAGAAGAAGAAGAAGAAGAAGAAGAAGAAAAAGAAAAAGAAGAAGAAGAAAAAGAAGAAGAAAAAGATGATGAAGAGGGAAAGGAGGAGTGATGGTGGTGGTGCAGGAGAAGGAAATAGAGGAGGAGGGGAGGAGGAGGAAAGGAAGAAAAGGCTACGGTGACTTTTTCTCACTAAAGCATGATCCATAATTCACTGAACATTCTGCCACGTCTACTGATGTGCTGTTTTATGCTCTTGTAATAAAGCTACTGCAACAGGGTGCATGCAAATTGATCGCTCATTATTATATACAAACACACTACACTAATTCAACTAAAAAAGTGGTCTCCAATTTGGGGAGGGGAGGGGGGCCTAACTGATACGTGTATCAATTCGGATTTTCACCTTTTACAGTCATTAGAACTTAAACAACGCTGACAACATGTTGTGGACAGTGATCTCCTTTGTGCCATGTCCAACAGGTGTATATAAAAAAAAAAACTGCATTCATCAGGACAAAACAGGGTCAACCATGACGTCGATACTAAATTACTAACTAGTGATCGTGTCTTTGTGATCTGGCACTTTGTTTTATGTGGATGTTTTTGTCCCAAGTTCTTGTTAACAGTGCTGGCGATTTTATTTTGGGAATTTTGTAAGAAAAAAATTTTTTTTTTCTTATTTAATAATTTGTGCTTTATTAATCCTACCCCAAACGGGGGATATCCACAGGTCAAGGAACAGTCTATTAGTTTAGGGGGTGGTAGATAGGCAGCATGCAGTGGTGGGACCTAGGCTGCACTCTCTCGTGGGACGTAGGTGGGTTGGGGTCAAAGCCAGTTCTAGATGTTTTGGGGTCGTAACACCCTCTAAAATGTTGGACTGTCTTGTGACGTAATCTGTGGTAGGATAATAATAAAGTAACCATTTTTGTAATGGGGGGGGGGGGGGGGGTCCCCTTGCCACATACCCAAGGAAGGCGACCCCTGAAAAAAAAAATAAGTTGGACCACTGACCTAAAGCGTGAACGAACGAACGAACAAACTAACTTTATTACAAAGGGTCACAAATTGGGCACGCAGGCCCATCTTATATTCCGCCCTTCCAAACACACATCTTTCACACTGCAGTTAGGTAGGTAGGTGCTTTGCCAAAAAAAAAAAAAAAAAAAAAAAAAAAAAAAAAGAACACAGTCACGTTCGACCAACATCCTCGAATGGGTAGCTTTAGGTTATAATTGTGACTGGGTTATGTGCGCCATATAAAATGGCGTGGCGCTGCACGCCACAAAGTAGCACTGAAAAGACCTCCTGCCGTGTTGACGCCATCAAGAGAGCCATACTCAAACACTGTCCCGACCGGTGACAAAATCGTCTACGAGCGAGCCAACGGGCGACCCGCTCGACGATGAAGCATGAAGGAAGTACTTACGTGAGGTCTATGTGAAGTGAGTTGGCTCCGGCCCGTTCTATGTAGGGCAACCTCAACCAGTTGTCCACGTTGGAGGTCTTGACGTAACAAGACGAGTAGGTTCTGAGAGGTTCCGAGAAACCTTCCTTGTTGACTGTGGCCTCCATCCACTGGGGAGCAAGAAACAAACCAATGAAGAAACAGGTCCGGTCAGTGATGAAACAGGTTCGGTCAATAAAGAAACAGGTCCGGTCAGTGAAGAAACAGGTTCAGTCGATGAAGAAGCAAATGGTTCATTCAATAAAGAAACAGTTTCGGTCAATAAAGAAACAGGTCCGGTCAGTGATGAAACAGGTTCAGTCGATGAAGAAGCAAATGGTTAATTCAATAAAGAAACAGGTTCGGTCAATAAAGAAACAGGTCCGGTCAGTGATGAAACAGGTTCAGTCGATGAAGAAGCAAATGGTTCATTCAATAAAGAAACAGGTTCGGTCAATAAAGAAACAGGTTCGGTCAATAAAGAAACAGGTTCGGTCAATAAAGAAACAGGTTCGGTCAATAAAGAAACAAATGGTTCGGTCAATGAAGAAACAAATGGTTCGGTCAATGAAGAAACAAATGGTTCGGTCAATGAAGAAACAAATGGTTCGGTCAATGAAGAAACAAATGGTTCGGTCAATAAAGAAACAAATGGTTCGGTCAATAAAGAAACAAATGGTTCGGTCAATGAAGAAACAAATGGTTCGGTCAATGAAGAAACAAATGGTTCGGTCAATGAAGAAACAAATGGTTCGGTCAATGAAGAAACAAATGGTTCGGTCAATGAAGAAACAAATGGTTCGGTCAATGAAGAAACAGGTCCGGTCAATGAAGAAACAGGTTCGGTCAATGAAGAAACAGGTCCGGTCAATGAAGAAACAGGTTCGGTCAATGAAGAAACAGGTCCAGTCAATGAAGAAACAGGTCCGGTCAATGAAGAAACAAATGGTTCGGCCAATGAAGCCACAGACGGTCTAGTCAATATATACAAGGTAACATGGGCTGGCTTAGTGTCACTCTACAGGCAGGTGGGCAGGGTGACATACAGATAGGTTGACAGGTGGGCAGGGTGACAGGTGGGCAGGGTGACAGGTGGGCAGGGTGACATACAGACAGGGTGACAGGTGGGTAGGGTGACAGGTGGGCAGGGTGACAGGTGGTCAGGGTGACATACAGATAGGTTGACAGGTGGGCAGGGTGACATACAGATAGGTTGACAGGTGGGCAGGGTGACAGGTGGGCAGGGTGACAGACAGACAGGGTGACAGGTGGGCAGGGTGACATACATATAGGTTGACAGGTGGGCATGGTGACAGGTTGGCAGGGTGACAGACAGACAGGGTGACAGGTGGGCAGGGTGACAGGTGGGCAGGGTGACAGATAGACAGACACACGGACAGATCGACAGGCATACAGCCAGCAGAAAAGCGGAGGGAAGGAAAGACTCAGAGACAGATTATAGCGGACGGAAAAACATACAGACAGATAAAAAGACAGAAATAGAGACAGATAAAGAGACAGACAGGCAGACCCACTGCTCCCAATTAGCATGTCGTAACAGGCGAACAATTAGGAATCTATTGAAATGAAATGTGCTAGGTCGAAAGTCGCAGATATCGCAGCTTTGCTGTAAACTACTGCATGATGTGCCAACCGCGCTTTAGTGGCCAACGCATTAAGAAGCAAAACGCTACACTCCCAGTTAAAGAGGTCTCCGGGATAAAATAACCAGACAATACAAATTGCGGTATGAAAGATGTTTGGAAGGGCTGAATGTAAGACGGGCCGGCGTGCCCAATTTGTGCCCCTCTGAAAATACAGCACGGTCGCTAGTAAGGAGCTAGCCTGCCTTTGCATAACCAGTCCTCACACGACTCAATCAAAACAGACCCACAGAGACGTGCGCGCGCGCACAACCGGACACTTAAAGCAATCCACCCGCGGTGCCATTTCGCGCCTTGCCCAAGACATCAACGGAAAATGTGCAAGTCCATTCATTCCATTGATGGCGCTAGAAACGCCACGCTCACACATCATTCCTGTGGACTCGGCTGGTCCGGGCGGCTGGGCCAACACATCGCATTCCCGTGCTGGGCACACGCAAAATCAATCTAGCTGTTCACACCGCCGTCTTCGGGCCAGAATGGATATTCGATTTGGCCCGGCTTGGGTATTCGATTTGGGCCAGCTAAATCTAAAGCCTCTTTGTTGACTGTACCAGGGGTTCTCAAGTTGGGGGTTGAGGGCCACAAGTCAAACTTGGGATTTTAGAAAAGTCGTTATCTTCCTTTCATACGTTCCTTCTACCCGGATCCACACCTAATTCCCCATTGAATGTTGAATGAATGTTGAATTAAGAATCGACATCACAGCACTCAGGACATTCCCATAAGCGCTCCGTCCCCATCTTCAGCAGCAAGCGCAGAGTTAAAATTCCGATGGTACCAGTGCCAGTCTGATTGTATATCCGTCTCGCCCCTCCGCCGAGTTTCAAGCGACAGGCAGATCCCCTTGTAACTCCTCGCAGTGCCATTCTCCTCAGACCGTAATGATCTATCTGTTCCTCGGCACTGTTCACTCGCTCCCAAAGGGCCCTCACAACATCCAGCTTGTCATACATCAGTTCACCACCAAGTGGTGCAGAACCGACCAGTCTGTCCGCCTGCTCATTTCCCAACACACCAGCGTCACCTGGAGAAAATATCCAATGGATGCTAACTACCCGGGACCTTTGAAGTGATGCTTTCCAATCTGCCCAGAGCATGCCTGTCTCCACCTTTCTTAGCATTCTCTGTGAGTCAGTTACAATGACGACATGTGTGTACAGCTGATTCTCAAGCCAGCAGAAGGCAGCAGTGACTGCCTCCACCTCCATTAATTCCCCATTAACACATTCTTACATTTCTTACTGAAACCAATCCTCCGACTTCTATCAGCATTCAGCGGCGACCGGGTCACCCACTGGCTCGCCAGCAGACTACTTCGTCGCAGGTCGGGACAGTATTTAGGTCTGTCCCCTTTGATCGCTTCAACGCCGCAGGAGACCTTTTCATGGCTCTTGGTGGCGAGCAATGCTAAGACCATTTTATATGGCGCACATAACTTAGTCACAATTATAACCTCAAGCTCCCCCTTTGGGGATGCCGGTTGTTGTTGAGCAAAAAATCGTAATCTATCAGCATTCGTTTATAGATGGTCTTGAGCATGTATCCGCTATCCAGGGCCAGTACTCGTGTAGCTACCACTTTCGTAGCAGTGACATGGTACAACCAAACAGTGACTGGATCCACCAAGAGACGAAACCATTAATACAATCTAGTATCCAAGAAAGGTGGCTGGACACACACACACCAAGTATTCTTCCCAAGACTTGCTTTATCGCCTCTCTAGAGAGGGACAGTGTATTATATTCAGACTAAGGACAGGGCACAACAGATTTCGTCAACATATGTTCAAATTTTTCGAAAATGCTGAGCATGTCAACTGTATGCTGACAACAGAGACGCAATCTGGCCTGTTCCAACCACAATGAAGACAAAACTGTATGATACACGAGAGGATTTAGAATGCACGATAGCTTTCATAAAGGCTACCGGCCTCCTGATATGTTTTCTGACAGAAGAATAGAAGAAGAAGAAGAAGAAGAAGAAGAAGAAGAAGAAGAAGAAGAAGAAGAAGAAGAAGAAGAAGAAGAAGAAGAAGAAGAACAAGAACAAGAACAAGAACAAGAACAAGAACAAGAAGAAAAACAAGAAGAAGAGAAGAAGAAGAAGAAGAAGAAGAAGAAGAAGAAGAAGAAGAAGAAGAAGAAGAAGAAGAAGAAGAAGAAGAAGAAGAAGAAGAAGAAGAAGAAGAAGAAGAAGAAGAAGAAGAAGAAGAAGAAGAAGCAGCAGAAGAAGAAAACAAGAAGAACAAGAAGAAGAACAACAAGAAGATTCGTGCATATACCTCTCTAGCCATGCATCTAACGAGATACAAAGAAATATACCAGACAATAATTGTACAGTCCACTGTTTGCACGCGCATTATTTAGAATTACAACGAGAACATTGTCCTGAACAAAGAATGAAACACCAACAACTGGCCCCGCCATCAGACCGACTTCTCTCCCATTTCGGACAAGCCGACATTTCCTGCAATAAAATTAAATGATAAGGACTGTGCCTCCTGACCCCATTCCCATATCCCAGAACTCCTATCGAATTTCCCAATCATCCCCAACGACCGGTCTCCGGAATTAGATCACCGTCCGCCTTGGGCCACTTCCCAGAGTCTTCTTGCAGGGGCGTCACCAACAAGGGTTCAGTTATTTTGGGCCAGATCCCAGTGTCTTCTTGCAGGGGCGTCACAACCCAGAGTTCAGCCCTCTTGGGCCACGTGGCAGTCTCTTCTTGCGGGGCGTTACAACCCAGGGTTCAGCCATCTTGGGCCTAACAGTGCGATTTTCATCGTCTTTACTCTTGAAAATTTGCAACAGGAATGTACCTTTCAATGTGAAACCCTAAAGTATGGAGTTCGTGTTAAGCTGATTTTACTGTGTTTAGTTGCCATCCCGAACATAATAATAATACTTAAGTAAAGTAAAGATCCCTTGTCACGCCTGTAGGTGCATGGGTCATATGGGAAAAGCACCCATACTTTTACAGACCATCGGCACTAGGTGGGTAATGTGGTCAGCATTACACCGGCCGTCTTTACTTTCCCAGGACAGCTATCCTGCGACGCCCCATAACATGATAAAAACCCACGCAGCCATCAGTGGGTTTCGATCGCGGTATGATGGAATTACGAGTCAGACTCGCAACGCCTTAGCCACGGACGCCGCACACAATAATACTAATAATAGTTATTATTATTTTCATCTTTGTTCAGCCATTGCGTCCGTTTACAAACGGCTGTGATATCTGCTCCTTTCGGTGACACATCCGACTTCGGGAGCTGTTTGTTACCCGGTTTAGCCATACCAGTTGGTAATATTATTATTATACACTTAAACCAGGCTTAAGCCCCTTGAGCTCCTTCGACCAAACTATAGGATATCGGAGCCAGACCACCACACACAAATGTCTTCTCTCCCATCTGCCGGACCTGGCAGACATTGTTATATTTGAATCCGACACGTCGCCACTTC